AAATATACTAGATACGATAGTATATATATATATATATATATATATATATATATATATATATATATATATAACTGAGGTGTATATACAGCTTTTAGAGAGACATTGAGGAAGAGGAGACAACGTATAGATTATAATAAACATCATAAACCCTACTTCCTAGGGTTTAGGGTTTAGGGTTTAGGGTATGGGGTTTAGGGTTTAGGGTTTAGGGTTTAGGGTTTTTTAGATGCGCAAATAGATAAACACAGAATGTCTCCACTATAACAAAACAACACAACAGCAACAAACATACGCCCTCACATTGCAGTCTCCTTTCTTAGTCCCTGTGTACAGCAACGGTATTTGATTCTCTTCTTTTCTCTCTCAGTTTTAGCAGCAGCAACAGCAGCAGCAGCAGCAGCAGCAGCAGCAGCAGCAGCAGAGTGCTGCTGCTGCAGGTAGCTGCTGCTGCATCTGGAGTCCCCTTAGTTTATCAGCATCAGCAGCCTGCAGGTGGGGGGCCCCTAGGGGGCCCCCCCTTTCTGTTGTTATTGTTATATGGAGACACCAGCAAGGAGACAGAAGGAGACATTTTTCTGCTGTTTGTATGAGCAGCAGGCTAGGCTACCACCTGAGCTTGCTGCTGTCTCCTTTTTTGTTTGTTATCTTCGCTGCACTCCTATGGGGGGATATATATAGAGGCTTATAGATACTAGCTCTTAGGAGAGGAGACAGCTGTCTCCTTTGCTGTGCTAGGAGACAGCTGTCTCCTTTGCTCCGCTAAGAGACAGCCGTCTCCTCCACTGCCTCAGGAGACAGGTGTCTCCTTCACTGCCTCAGGAGACAGCTGTCTCCTCCACTGCCTCAAGAGACAGCTGTCTCCTTCACTGCCTCAAGAGACAGCTGTCTCCTCCACTGCCTCAAGAGACAGGTGTCTCCTTTGCTGTGCTAAGAGACAGGTGTCTCCTTCGCTGCCTCAGGAGACAGGTGTCTCCTTCACTGCCTCAAGATACAGCTGTCTCCTTCACTGCCTCAAGAGACAGCTGTCTCCTTTGCTCTGCTAAGAGACAGCTGTCTCCTCTACTGCCTCAGAGACACCTGTCTCCATTGCTGTGTTAAGAGGCAAGTGTCTCCTTCACTGTCTGGATAGATACGTGTCTCCTTTGCTGTCTGTCTCTGCGTACTGTAGACATTTCTTTTTGTATGAGATAAAGGCTAAAGGCGCGCTGCAACAGAGCAGCCAAAGAAAAGGAGACAGCAGCAAGGAGGAGGTGTCTCTCTTGCCTGTCTGTGTCTCTGTACACTAAAGAGGGACAAAGGGTCTCCTCTGCTCCAAACACAAACACCAGCAGCAGCAGC